GATGTGAATAGTTGTTCAGAATGTATTAGGTCAATTTATTTTATTTTTTGGACAGTAATTTGAATCACTGAAATTACTCAACACAAGGCAGGAACAATCTTGAACTGGCATAAATGGCATTTCTAATTCAGCAGTTTTATTTTGAAATACATCTGCTACCTTTAGTAACAGCATGTTTCGTACAGTGCAGGGCATTGTTGCATAGAAGAACAGGCCAGCATGTGTCCCGAGGATTTAATTGGTTCTTTCTAACTTCTCTTCCAATTATGTTTGGTCCAGAGCAGCCCGCATTTCCCCTCATGGCCCACTTCCTCTCTCATTTTATATCTTTATGAAGTCCATACGAGCCAAACATACGTGTGTGTTCACATTACAGTATCAGTAATCAGTGAAGTCTTTTTCTTGGCCTCTCTCCACAACTGGGAAATCAGAGCAATTTACTCAATATATAATATATGTAGAAAAACTGTAATTCAGAGTATTGCTGGAGGCATTGCATTGATATAATAATACACAAATAGTACATAATAATAGAACTAGAACACAGCCTTTGAATCCAAATGTCCTCCTTAGTCCCTAATCTCTCTCTCACAATGTAGAACTGTACTATTTAGCAGACTACCACTACTTTTACCTCACCATGGGTCATGTGACTGTAGTGTTTGGTGAGAAAAGTCTGTTAAACAATACAGACATGTATTTCTGTACTAAATATCAATCTATCATTCAATCTTATGTATGAGTAAAGTTAAATTAATATTAATCACACATATTGTACTTAAGATCTCATATTAAACACAAAAACTGTCTGGTTTATTCGACTTTTTGTCTGAGATTGGAAACTATACATTTTTTACAGCGCAGAGAGACTTGAGACTTCACACCACAATGATTTATTCATAACCATGGACAGGTCAACAGGGGCAACAAAGGGGTCTGTCCCAGGCCCCTTGCTCTTGGGGGCCCAGAATTTGACCCTCTTTCTATTAATTTATATTTTTTTGGGTTGGGGGGGCATGTGAGGTCTCTTGCCCCAGGTCCCCAAATTTCTGTCAAAGGGCCTGACCATTTGTAAACAGTGCAAGAAAACAATTATTCTTTTTGCTTTCACAGTATTGCGTAAAGCCCTGTCGCAGACCAGTCTTGAGACCATCGCTTTGTGCTACTTTTCAAGGTGCACTGTGGGTAATTTTGAGTGCATTACTATTTACCCACAGGACATTTAGGCAAAGCTAACAAAATAGCGTGACCACTACACCGTGTCCTATTGGAATAGTATGGACATTCGGACACAGTCAGTAAAGTCTAGTAGCCTAAAAATGTAATAGTCTTGAAAGATTGTAAGAGGGCTATGAACAGATACAAACAACTAGATAAAAGCAGCTCTGCTGAGACTATAAACTGAGAGAAGTAACTTTTATGGATAAACACTGTTTATTTTTACAGATTTTTGTAATACAACAAAAGAAAAGAAAAAAAACTTGTGTGTTAGGAACTGATATTAGGCTCACATTATCAAGTTCTTGTCAAAACACTCATTAACGTGTGTTAATTAATTTCTCTCTTTAGGGAATCTTGGAGGAAGAAATCAGGTCAAAAAAATGCCAAAGAACTAAACCTAAAGTGCCTTGTCGCCTCACTTTCTAAATAATGAGAAAATCATGCAGTTGAGGTAGTTAATTTATTCCTTGTCTTTATTGAGTGAGGGAGCGCGGTGAGGTGGGAGAGTAAAGAAGCCAGGCCTGCATCGATTGTATGTATTTATCTTCCCCTGGTCAGCAGTCTGGCTTGTTGCTGTGCACTGGAGGTCATTCTCCACATTGAATCCCCATTGATCTGGTCTTTAAAGCCTCCCGAGACAGCCAGCCAGTGCTCTATTATGAGACTGATCACACTTTGGGAGCAATAAACACATAAGCATACTCATGAATAGACAAACACCAACCTCTTGTAGGGCCTAAGTACATTAGCACACTCAGGAAACACATCTTCTGATCGGTGGAAATAAAGTTTAGCACCGTGCTCTGGCCTGTAATGCCTTGTAAGCGCGCCTCCTAACTGCGTGTAAGAGCATGTGTTAATTCGGACATCATTTAATAAGGGCCAGCCAGACAGCGCTGACCACTCCATTGGAAAGGTGCTGAGAGGCAATTACCAAAGAAGATAGGCCTGCAGGCTCCTGGGGCATCAGGCATTTCCAACCAAGAGAGGATGGAAGCTAACCGCTCCCCGGACCTGCGCTGCTCTCTGCACGCAGAAGGATGTCAAATAACTCACACTAACAGAACTTTTGAATGGTGTAAAGGTAATTACAGCTGGTCATGTTCCTTCCTTGTGAACAAAAGAACAGCACACCACAACTGAATCAATGTTTTAAAGGTTGCTATTTTCTGATCTATGTTCTAATGATGTTTCCTCATCACAAACTTACCCGGAGTTGTGTTTTCTTTCATTTACGCATGTTTAACAAGAAAATCTCTTCATGACATCAAAAGATGGAACAGAGTATTTTGAAGATGTAGACAGCCTAATAATAAAGGGTTACCCAAACATGTGTGCAAGAAACAAAACACAACTCCAGGTCTGTTTTTGAGGAGGTAATGACATTTTAACATGGCTTAAAGCTCACAAGAGTCGATTACTGCAACATGTTATACAAGAAAAAATTTCTGGATTTTGTTAAATGCTTCCGAATCATAGACAGCAGACTGTAATATTTGTCAGTGGGTACATTCACATGGCCAGTACAAATCAGATAATAGATCATTAGAATAATCAGACCACCCAACAATTAGATCTGATTAGAATCTGACTACTGTTGTATTATTATTGTGTGTTTACATACACAAAAGAAATGTGATCACCAAAAACACCTGGAGATGTGTCAGTTAAATAATGGATTTTTAAAAGTAGATGTTACAAAGAACAATTAGTTTATCCTTTTTGTATAGTTTTCTTGTGACCCAACAGAAATAATGACTCACATTAGATGTAACTGTTGACATGAGATGTAAACACAGCTACAGTCATTTGATGTATTGATTATTTGTGATTAGTTATGCATAGGGATTAACTATGTCAGTTGTCACTATTGTGTTTCCAGAGAAAAGAAAAAAAAAAAAAAAAAAGAAAGAAAAGAATTGCCTGTCATAATATTTAGGTAGGTACTTTTTCTTAGTACTAGTGGGGAACTTTGTTATTTTTCCTGTTCTATGATTAGATTTGAGCTTTAGAGGGTTGAATGAAAAACTTCTATGACTCATTATAGATACAGCCTAACTACTTTAGGAGTTGCATTTCTTTTTAACCATATCACACATTTGGAATAGTATTTTTTTGGGGATCATTCTGCTTTAGGATTAGTGTGTCACTGGCATAAATTTGTTTATTATCGCTTATCATCTATACTTTTCTTAAGCAATATCAAAATTAGTTATCATGGCAGAAGTAAAAGACACAATAAATGAATTAAATGAAAATAATTTAAGAGCTCTAAACTCAAAAAACTTATGATAGAAATTGTGGTATATACTGCGATGTGTACAGGCCAAGAACTCTTACCAAGGAAAAGTGCTGCAACCTTCACTTACAGTTTGAATTGGATAATATATTTTGATGCTCTCCAGCCTGTCTGCAGTAATGAATGTGTATTGTGTTTGTGGCCCCTCGAGAAGGCTGTAAACATTAGGCTGACATATTACAACCACAGAAAGGAAGTTAGTATTAGCAAACACAGCCTAATTACTGGCTATGTTGAGCAGACACTAAGCAACTTAAGCATAACTTTAGTTGCGTTCCTGCCCACAAAACAAATAGAAAATCATTTTAAACCCATTAAGACGATAGTTGAGATGTAGTAAATATTTGGAGACTTTGTTGCCTCTCTTTATGTCTCTACAATCAAAAGCAGTGCAAACAGAGCTCAGAACAGATGAATTCCAGATGCTAGTGAAAGATCATCTAAACATGACCATCAATCTTCTTCTGGTTTTCTCTGTTAGTGGTGGACTTGTTTGTCATTTTGAGTAAAGAATTGCTTAACTGTGTATGCTAACCAGTCCAACATAATAACTATACTTTTGAAAGTCTGTGAAATTGAAATAATGAAATTGTACATTAAAGCGTGCAATCTCAAGTGAATGCTCACAGCTGAAAGAATGAACTCAAGTTGAACATGTGTTTCATGTTTCACGCCATGTCCAGTGTAAAATATATGATGTGGCCTTCCTGTCTCCATACAGACCGTACTTATGAAAAATGTGTTATGATTCATTAGGCAGAGGAGGAAATGAAGGTAATGCAGGAAAAGCTAGGGGCATCCACTCTCATAGTCACTGTAACATCATTAAAGACATCCAGAGGACGACGTGTCAGCGTTGATACAGAGTTATGCATCATAACGAGATGAAGACAATAGGGCATTTCTCAAACTTTACAAAGTTGTTATTGGAACTCAAAATCAAAGGTGTGTGAGATGTAAACAATTTTCCTACACCAACCCAAGTTCAAGCAAGAGGAGAGAAGCCAAGTGAACCATTAATTAGCCCTATACGCTAATTCTCAGAAATGCAGAGTAAAATTATGTATTCTGAGTACCTCAGGACATAGCATTTTAAAGGGTGAGTGGTTATAAATGCTAATTTAATACATCTGGCTTTTCCTACATAAGTCTACATAATATATTAGTGTTGACTCACAGCTTTAAGCATTGAATGCTAAAAAGCATGACATACATATACAAAATATAGTCATGTTTGTGTTAAAAGCATCACACCTTGTGTAGAACATTCACACAGATGTGAATAAAGTAAATATATGAAGTACTGGAAATCTTAATTCAAGATAAAATATGAATGTATAAGTTAAATAAACAAACACTCAATATGTGTATGACCTGAAATGTATGACCAAGTTTAAAGACATGTATAAAAAATATAATAACATAAACTAGATAACCTCTAGCTTCACTTGGTGAAATAAGAAGGTGCGTGCTCTCTTACCGTTGTTGCCGAAGTCCAGGGAGTACTTGACCACGTGGTAGTTATTCCACACATAGAGCAGGTTGTCTCGGGGGTTGTAATCCACTGCAGCAATGTACTGGTAGGAGTTTGGGAATGGGATATTCACAGTCATTTCTTTGCTCTTGTCTGTATTATACATGTAGTCTATCTTGTTCCCTGTCCCTTCATTATCGTCATCTTCATAAACTGTTTTCACCACATAAAGCACCCCGCAGATCATGAATGCATTTGAAGCCGAGCGTTTATCATAGTTTGTGTCCCAGGACCCCTCGATTCTTAACGTATATGGATTGAGTTGGCTTACTACAATACGGCCATTATTTTGTTCAGTTGCATAAATCACCCATAAGCCATTCTCATCCACGGCGAGATCAATGTCTGACTTGCCTCCCCAACGATATGGCGAAGTATCGTGATAGTTAGCGTTAGCAATTATGGCCTCTCCACTTTTGATACGTGTACGCAAGTCGAACTTTACAATATTTCTTGTGCGTTCCTTGTTGAAAAAAAGTGCACCGTCATAAACCACAAAACCAGTCCCGTCAACACGATGGGGCAGTTTGTAAGTTGTGGTGGGGCGTCCCGCTATGAAGTCCTCTTTAGAAGAATATTCGGTGAGTGTGTCAGTGCGGTATGGTGTCCAGGGCATGTAGTAGATCTTGTCCGAGGCCTGGAGAGGGTCTTTGCACCATGCTCCAGACTGGTGGTCCGACTCAAAGAGGTGCTCACTCTGGTAGACTCCACGCAGGATCCCAGGGCAGAGAAAGACTACGGCAAGAGGAAAAGGACAAATAAGGACAAATAAGTGAAAGAAAATAACTAACTTATTTTTTATCAATCCTGTCAACACAATATAGTGCTAGTACTACTGCTGCAAAGACTAGTCTCTTATCCTAAGAGACTGAAAACTTCAAATATTGAACCTTATCATTATTTTTTGTTTGTTTCTACAAACTTGACATATTAAGACCCAAATTCCTTTCAACTGACAATCACGTCTTCGGGGTTTGAACAATGGCAACACTTTCAGAAGCTGTTGTGTTTTTATATATATTTAGTGTCACTGTAAAGAGCAAATGTAAGATATAAGTATGTTGCAAAATACTGTAAATCTGCTTTGAAAATTGCAGTGTAATTTTTACAAAACTGAACTGGGGCAAGGATTTATTTATTTGTATTTATTTGTAATAATACAATGATTTAATTTCACAGTTTCACAGTTCCTATATTACACAAAATGGATTCTTGTGAACTATGTTATGATGTTACCTCATCAAAAACATACCCAGGGCTGTGTTTTGTTTCATTCACATATGTTTGAGTAATCCTGCTTTAATAGTCTGTCCATATTCCCGAAGCTCAAAATGCTCTGTTCAACCTTGTGATGTCATGAAGCTGTTTTCTGATCTGTGAAGTTAACAGCTCCCTTCACAGATCAGAAAATAGTGTAATATAAGCTCTTTGAAAAAATACAGAGACAGTTGCTAATTTTATTCCCATATAAAACTACTATGAGCATTCCTGCTATATTTCTCTGTACCCAGACCTTAACCACCAGTGAGTGACAATGGCAGGATAGGCTTACTTTATTATGATGCCTGTAAAGTCACTGTCATTGTGAGGCATAGCAACAGCGTGCAGTCTATTCAACAGATTATAGCCTGCTCTTACAGTGAAAAGCAGAGGAGAGGAATGGCACATTTTGTTCTCTGTACCCCCTTCTCTCCCTCTCCAAAGCTCCTCATTAGTCGACAAACTCTTTCTTCCTTTTCTATTCCTGTCAGATACGACTGTCTGAACCACACATCTTTTATCGCCTGCTGTTTTTGCAATTGTTACGATAAGTCATCCCCCAGTCCCAGCTCCCTACTCCCATCATGGAATACGGGGGTCATGTTTTATGTGTGATGTGGGAGATGCAGTAAATTCAGAGTACGGACCGCGTGGTAAGGAACCTTTGTAATTTGACTGGAATGTTGTCGCATACAAAGACCAGATGTGCACCGTGGTTTTCCCATTCTGCTCAATAACTTCCAATGCACAGGGCTGTGAATATTGATTTGGGTTTTCACAGCACCGGAATAATTTTCTCATCACATGGAATGGCTGGAATATTAAATGTCAGCGTAATTCCACATTCATTGGCTCAGTGAGGTTGTTAAATGACATTCAACTCAACACCATAGAAAAATATGTAGCCGGAGTCATTGTAATGATTTTTTACAGTAATGGGAACATTTGACATAGAGTGTACTTTATCTAGACTTAGGATTGACACTACAGCTATTACTAAGGCTATTAACATTACTTGTATGACTAATTATTATGGCAATCTTTACTGATGACCACACAACCAAAGCATGTATTTTACTAGTGATTTTCTGACATATTTGCTTAATTGTGTCAAAAAATTTACAGAGATTTGTAATTTACAATTTGTATTGAACAAAAAGTCAAACGCAGAATATTACAAAACTACTTTTAACTTGATATTTTGTTTACTTGATAATGTAAATGATATTAAAGGTGCACTGTGTAACTTTCCAGGTGAAGGGTAGGCCATCACTACTCTACTTAACTATTTCCACGGAGGCAAGCACCATGCCAATTTACAGGTCTGATTTATGAAGAGGTGGGCCTGCTTATAGTAAATTGCATATTTTTCACTGTATTGTTTTATTGTAAAAATACATATAATTGATTAATAAGCTAATTTAATACCATTCTGTGGTACAATGTCCCTAGTATATCTACATGGACTCAACCAGGTGCTGAACGTGTATCAGAAAAATTATATAGTGCACCTTTAAGTAAAATTAAGTAGAAGAAAAACTACAGTCAATGCAATTTTGCTGTCATTGGCGCAACCCAAGTATCGCTTAGTGACACTGTCTGCTCCACCATATAAAAAATATAGAGCTCAAGTGTGCGTAATGAGTGTTTCAGAGATGAAGCAGTCTTAATATAGCCCCAGCCTCTTTGAGAGAGATGTCGAGGTATAAAAAGCTTCAGGCACTGGCATCAAAAAGTGACACCAAACCCTGCCCTGGAGTACTCTATGTACGTGTATGTATGTGTGTGTGTGTGTGTGTGTGTGTGTGTGTGTGTGTGTGTGTGTGTGTAAACAGACTTACCTTTTTGTTCTACTTCTGCTCGAGCCATAGACGGAACATTGGTTATGCAAAGGAGAGAAAAAAGAGAGAGGGAGAGACAAGACAAAAATAGATTAATGATGCAATAATAAGGAAATCATGATAATACAATCTCAGATCTCCATAATCATACTCATATTTCATCCTAACCTTGTGAGAGAGCCAGGATGCTTTCTGCGTGTGATTGGTAATAGGGTTACGTAAGCGTCGGAGAGAAGTGCACAGCCAGTGGGGGGTGGAGGGGGGTGTGAGGCTGCTGACACTAAAGCATCGTGTATATGTGGCGCATGCACACACACACACACACACACACACACACATATGGGCCAACAGCTACGGGTGAGAGGAGAAAGCAACATGGGCTAGGGCAACATGCTAGACAAATGTAACCACACTCTGGTCTGGGGACAATGCATCAGCAATAAAAGGGGAGCCATTTATTTTGTACCAGTCACTATGAAAGATTACTTTTAAGTGGGAGAGTCGTTATTTCTTGTACAGACAGTAAAATACAGTATAAAGGAGTTTAGAGCATGACCGAATAACACACATCGATCAGCTAATCGTCTATGAAACATTAGTGGGCAGTTTGGTGTAGCCTGTTCAAAACAGGATATTTACAATAACTTAGTTTGTGCAAGAATAAATATAATAGTCAAGAATAATATCAGCAAAAATAAACAACAAAAAAAAACTCATGTAGAAAAAAAAAGTTTCCTGACCATATATTGAGGTGTATATTTAAGCACAGGTTTGCTTGAAAATAAATGCATGAGAGTCCCCAGTGACAATCTATGACCTATGTGGAACCATAAAATGTAATTGGATTCATTCTAGTTGTACTCTGGACAATTATATTTTCTTGCAATACAAACAAAATGTTACCAGCTCCAAGTATAAAGAGGATATCTCAAAAGGATTCTGCAAAGTTTTACAGACACATATTTGATTTGACTTGATCATCATGGTAGCTGGATCTGAACACTGAACATGAACTTGCAACATTTTCGGTGGATCTTAAAAAGTGGTTTTGGAAAAAACAAACCTGCAAATCCTGATAATGAGAGTGCAATACTACACATTACTACTACTAGGGACTGATGTAATAGTGAAATGTAGAAATGGTAGGTTAATATGTTATATATGTTATATTTAATAAAATGAAATTCATGATTTTGTAAATACCTAATGCTTTGTTTTGTTAATGTGTGATATTGTGTGAGTGTGTGTGGATCAGAGAGTAGACAGTGTGAATTGCTTTTATTGTTGACTGAATGTAGTTGCAGTGCATTTCTGTAAATCAGGGATTGCAGATGGAAACTAGCTATTTAGCTATAATCTTTTGCGAGACATCTCTTTTTGAGCCTACAGTCTCTGTAAATGTCCCTTCAAATAAAGACTAAATTAAACTTTACCAGGGTTTCTTCTACTTTGACTCAAAAGTGCCACTTTTAAAATTATTTTCCAAAGGTTAGATGCTCTTTGTGCTTGTCAAATTTCACGTGAAAGTCCGCTCACATCTGTGCACAGTGGAGCCAATCGTCCAGTTCTCTGTCTCTTCACTATTATACCTAAACCATTATCCTGTGAGCCCTGACGCCGCGTGCTGGTATCAAAATGGCACACTTTCTGGTGCCGTATAAATTCCATTCCACCTCTCTCCCCGGGGATCTGGGTGAATGTGAACACGGCAGAAACCTAATCCTACAGGCACTGCCCTTGTGTCTTTCAAGACCGTTAGAGAACTGCTGAATGGAACCGGTCCCTAGAGGAGAGGAGAGAGGAGCCGAGGAGAGGAGCTAGTGTGGATCTGAGGGATGTAAGCTGAGTCCTCAAAGGGAAAAACATTTGGGGAAAAACTTCCGGATGTTTATATATAGCATCGCTGCACTAGTTTTGAGTGGTATGTGCATAAATTCTTAAACATCTTAAAGCTAAAACTCCCAGCAAACCACAAGCATGTAAAACACACGGAGAGGGGACATGCACACAACAGAGAAGCAACCATTAAATGCGGAGCTCATGAAAAATGCATGCTAACTGGTGTGGCTGTGCACAACTCCCGATAAATAAGCAATCACTGGAGAAGATCGTGTTAAAGCTAAAACAAGTGCGGAGATGCTTGTATGTGTGTATGTGTATGTGCAATGGTTCACCACAGAGGCTTCCCCCTTGTGGACAAAGTTAAATCATAAAAGAGAAAATGCCACAGAAAAAGTAATCAAGGTGAGTTTTATGGTGAGAATAATACAATTCTTCAAATATACTCGTATGCAGCACATTAAAGGGCGCATATTACTCTATTTTCTGACCAATGTTATAATGTTCTCTCATCAAAATACCACACCTGAAGTTGTGTTTTGTGTCATGTTTAACACACAAACTCTGCATATTTAGGCTGAGTTCTTGCTCCACTGTATTTAAACTCCATTCACTGTGTTTAAACTCCATTCACCTTTACTAGAATCATTTGAATGATTTCAGCCCTGTAATTGTTCATTTCTACTGAACTAAAGGCAAAATGCAGCTGTTAACTTGAAAACGGATGCTATATCACATCACAAGGTGAAACAGACCATTTTGAGCTTTGGAGATGTAGATAGACCAATAATAAATGATTACTCAAACATGTGTTAATGGAACAAAACACAACTCCTGATATTTGGGAAGAAAACAACATTATAACCTAGCTTAAGTCAATTTTGCATAATAGGACCTACAAGGACAAAGAAAATACAAATCTTAGAATGTGTTCACATACACAATAATCTTTGTATGATAGCAAAATAATATTATGTTATGTTATGTACGCATTACAATAATCAATTATCTAGCCTTTGCCTTTCACAGTTTCTTCTAAAGATTTCAGAATAATGTATCAAAAAAAGTTCAGCCTTGTAAGCATGGCCTCTGCAGCTTTTGTCGCCCCTGTTTCCATAGCTCGAATGAATGTGTTGCTAAAATTCAAATGCTTCTTTTGTCAAGAACTAAAAAATAAAATTAAAATTGTTGCCTTTTTAATGATTTTTGAAAAGAGGTTGCTGCTCAAACACATGAGCCAAAAAAATTAATGAACACTATTACATCTTACTACGACAAATTCTACAATCTCACAGACATTTCTGAAAAACAGCAGCAAGGACAGTCCAAGTTTTCCCTCAACTAACAGATTTAAAATGAACAGGGTGGTAGCAACAAGTGTTACCAAATGGCACTCTAAATGTCAAACAAATGTCATTCAATCTGTATTGTTAGTTGTTGTTTCGCTGGACTGCTTGATGCCTTCAGAGTTGGCTTTAATCTCCCCCATAAATCTCCCATACTACCTTTTTATGGCAATCGGGGAAAAAAAGGTAGTTGTTTTTGGTATCTCAAGGATTTTTCAAGGTTACTGAGAGGAGGATGCAGTGTTGGTTTGTGTTCTGGCTTGTTCTTGTTGAAATGAGCTATAAAACAACTATGGATGAGGTAAACTCTAAGAAAGCATTGTTCTAAAGCTCTTCTCTGCCATTTTGTCATTTTTATTATCATATTGATTTCTCCAAAGAAGTAGGATGTTTTTCATTCTGCAAACCCACACATTTTTCAATCGCTATAGCTTCACCCTATAGAAATCCTTTTATTTAATCTTAGCAAAAACACATACTTTTCTTGCAGTGAGAAAACCTGATTTTACACCTAGAAAATCCCTATCCTTTTTACAGACGCGGAATTAACCTGACTGTGCCATGGTATAAAGATAATTAGCATTTTTATTGAAAACGTATGCTTTATTAGAGAGGTACTGGGCCAGGAGAGATGACAGCGCTCTGTGTGTGTGTGTGTGTGTGTGCGCGCATGCGTGTGTGTGTGTGTGGGAGCCCATGTATGTGCAGACTGTAAGTGGCGACAGCTATTATCTCTGATCTCACATTTTCCAATCAGCTCCACCGCCTAAAGCCCAAGGTCATTTATTGAACACATTTCCACGTCCCCCTAGTCATTACTCCATTCAGAGTTTTCATGTTAACACATACAATGCATATACTCAAGACTAGGCTCATATAGCTTAATACAGCAAGATTTCTACATAACAATATTACATATTGTATATTACAAGTGTGCATGCACAATTAAGAGAGAAGAAAACTACTGTGCCATGTTATGTCTGTATTCATCAGTATAGATAAATAATGCACACACAACAGTGGCTGAGTGGTCACGTTTCACAGCAAGAAGGTTCCAGGTTCGATTCCCAGGTTCTTGGGACTTTCCGTGTGGAGTTTGCATGTTCTCCTGGGTAGGTACAATCCTTCAGCTAAGGTAGCCCTGACTTAGCAACAAGATCTTAGATATGGGTCCCCGAGTGTGGCACTGCTGCGCCCAATACTCCTGAGGAGATGTCCCAGCGGCACTGAAGGATGGGTCAAATGCAGAGGACACATATACATTTCCCAAAACGAACAATGTGTGTACTTTAACCTTACTTTAACCTTAATAATAATACTAACCAAGAAGCCAAGAAGGCACCACTTGAATGATTTGGCTCTTGATTGAGTACTATTAACAGTATTAACATCACAACATTCTGTAGGCCAATACTATTTAATACAAATGGGGGCAGGTGAAATTAATATTGCTAAAATACATTTATAGTTGTTATACCGTGAGTTTTGGGGGCTGAATTTATATGGTTCAACATTCGTGCATTTACCTTTTGGTTATTTCAGGCAAAGTACAAAGTCATTGCTCTTGCCCGCCACCTGGGAGTATGACATTCACTACAGACAAAAACATCCAACATACTGTAATTCATAAAACCCTTCCACTTGATTTTTCCCTTTTTCAATGGCCACAAAGTAAAGGATCAATAATCAACACAGTAATTTGAGTTTTGATATCGCTTTGGTTTCACATCATTGACAATTCCTAACACTTTTATCCTGCTTTTTCCTGTGCCTCCTATATAGTCCATTCAATATCTCTCTTTCCACATCCAATCCCGGAGACCCTGTCCA